TTCTCTAAAGCACAATTTTCTTTTTTGACCTGAATCTCGATCATACAATTATAAATCCCTCTTTCTTATATCACGTGTACCACATTTTATTTTTACATTTTGCTTAGGATCTGGAAAACAATTGATAAAATTGACACACGTTTAGTTGAAGCTCAGTAGCGAATAGAACTATCCTTTTATGATATCGGTAATATATGATATAATATAAAAAAGCAATTTATCTCTGTCAACACATCAGTTTAATTTGCTGGATATTCACGTTAATACACAAATCAATTCAAACAGTGAAATGCTTTTCTAACTTGTAAGTACAGGTTTTAAAGGTTTCGATATGCAGACAAACTACGCAAGTGCAAAGGTGACCGGTTTATGCATTTTTATGCCTCCGTATCGAAGATTTCGTCCGTCCGTCTGTCTGTCTAGCTGTCTCTATTTGTCCGCAAAAACTTTAACATTGCCCATAACTTTTGATTGGTTGAAGCTATGTCTTTCATATTTCACATGTGTATTTCTTGTGACAAGACCTTTCTTTGGGTACCACCATAATTGACCTTTTGACCTTTACCTTGGAGTTTGACCCAGTTTTGCAAAAATTTACCCAACTTTAACCTTGGCCATAACTTTTGAACAATTGGTGCTAGGGCTTTCATACTTCACATGGGTTATCCTTGTGACAAGACCTTCCTTTGGATACCAACAACTTTGAACCTTTAACCTTGACCTTGGAGTTTGACCTACTTTTGAAAAACTTTAATATTGGCCATAACTTTTAAACGGTTGGTGCTAAGGCTTTCATACTTCACAAATGTAATCTTTGTGACAAGACCTTCCTTTGGATACCTACGATTTTCACCCTTTGACCTTGACCTTTGAGTTTGACCTACTTTTGGAAAACTTTATCCTTGGACACAACTTTTGAAAAGTTGGTGCTAGGGCTTTCATATTTAACATGTTTTTTCCTTGTGACAAGACCTTCCTTTGGATTCCAACAATTGTAATCCTACTGGCCTATTAGTTTTTGACGCGGTGTGGCGAATGAGAATCGACACCCCTCTCCCCAATTACGAAGCGAGATAAAGCAATAGAATTACATACTTGCAGACTTTATTTGTATTTGAATTGTGAAGTCTCTAAAATTGAACAAGTTGAACATAGAATGTTAAAAAAAACATACGTCTAACGTCAGAAGAACATTCCAGTACTAAAGGACCAGTTCTATTACAATTCCCAAAATCTCGGAATTCACATTCGGTTAAGATTTCTTCTTTCCCAGTACATTCAACCTTAATCAAGGGTCCTGATGAACGTCTTAGATGATCAGTAAGTATTAAACTAGCATAACTAAAATATATAAAAATGATGAAATGATTGTTTCTATGTAACCTACCACATAATTGAATAAATATTTGAAGCATCTGGATAAGATCACGTTCAACATACATTTGAAATGTAAGACAATTAAAATATTATCATCAACTGTTCTCAAGACAGAGAAAAATTATTCAGATCTAAATGTATGAATTATAAGTTACACAGGCATGTAGTAACCTGGTAGGAGATGTCTCAAACACGCTATGTGACTTCACATATAATCTCTGACTATTATTGCGAGGTTTATACTGGTTTGAGAAAAATTTGTTACACACATGGTAATTCATAGTAAGTGGTATCGCCGTTAATGCAAATAAAAATGTGATCCAATATTTAAGCACTGTACCCTCATAAACCATAAAGATAAGCAGTTATTTCTCAATGAAACTGTTTTATAATGAGTTATATAAGAAAAGGTATTGAAACAACGATGATTTACGATCTATATGCTCAGCATATAATATCATAAAAACTGTCATTATTAGAACTTTATTTTCCTGTTGCATCCTATCTCTGGATTAACCTTTCTGATGAAAAAAAAGCTTCACGTCTAATTTCGATCATTTGACAAAATAAGAACAAATATTTTCAATTCACGTTTAGGTCTACTGCAGAAATCTTACTAGGAATTAAAATGTTCAATGTATATTTATTTTAGAGAGTAGGTGACCTACCCACTGTATCCAAAAATTTTGCACATAGCTTTCGCTGCTGTATCATCCAACTCGTCTGTACAAAAGCCCACCAAATTGGAATTTAAACGTATATTTGGTTTAACTATATGGACATTTCGTGCAGAAGTTGCATTTTTGTATTGAAGTTTTACGATTTCTGAAAGCAAAAATTAAAATTTAAGAACCTTGCTTAATTTTTGCTCTCTTTCTCTCTCTCTCTCTCTCTCCATACCATTTAGTGTGTTGAAACATGCGACTCCCACGCTTCCACCAGAGCCACAGCTGTTTTGTCCAATTACTGACTGGGAACATTCAAACAGGGAATTTTCATTTCCGTTACAGTTCATACCAGTTAGCAATATTTTTTCATTGGTTTCTCCAAAAGTAGTTGATGGAATCGACAGCCCTCTGCAAATATTAATTTGTACTATCATCCAAAAGTTAAATCCATTGTGTCATGGTGACTTATAACATTATTTCCGATTAAATATTTCTGAATGTCTACAAATCGAATGGACACTTAAGTTACCTATCGTAGAGCTTGGCGATTTGTATCTATACCTTTTATACATCTTGTATATTCTGTGTTAATTGCGCAGATTTGTGGAGCAGACTAATTATTACATGCCTCATCTCAGGATAATGACAATTATTGGGCCTTCGCTTTTTTAAAGCAACAATTCGAGATAAATCTTAAATTTTGCTGCTAAAAATATATTAAATGATTTTTTTAAATGATTTTTTTTTTATCTAAAGCATCATTTGATTACAACAATAACTTCTACAAGAGGCATAATAAACTACATATGTAATTCTGTCTCTGCTTCCATTCCAAGAAATTCCATGAAAAGTAACCGCATTAGATGTAAAGAATAATGCAGAAAATGTAACTAGAGCTGAAAAACGTTTTGTTTGTTTATTGTTTAACGTCCCTCTTGAGAATTTTTCACTCAGATGGAGACGCCACCACTTGCCTGCGGAGAGCTGCAAATTTTGAACTATACTCGGCTCTCAGGACCATTGAGCAGTGAGGGATCTTTTTCGTGCCAGCATCATGGGACCTCGGTTTATACGATCTCATCCGAAACACCGGTCTCCACTTCCCACGAGGGGATTCGAACCCGCGACGTAAGGATCAACTCCTTACTCCTCTACTCTAGAGCGAACGCTCTAACCACTGCGCCACGCAGGAGCTGAAAATGGTATTTTATTGTCTAAAAGCAATATCACCGATATGCTGAATTTTTTTCACGTTTGACTGATTGTTTATTCATTTAAAAACTAGTAAGATTGAATAAGCTTGCAAAAATACTAATCGCGGACTTAGCGATTTAACGAAAAGAAAGAGAGCTTTGACAATTTATTAAATTCTGATACGAATATTGGATCATTATAATTAATCGTTTAAATAATTTTCATTTTCTAAATCTATTTTAGTGCAACAAATTAGGAATTCTAGAATAATTTAAATCCACAGCTGAATTGTGACATTCAACATATTTTAATATTTAGACATATATTTTATGGTTTATAATCGCAGTTTAAAATTTTAGTAAACAATATAATCATAACTAAGCATCTACCCATTATCAGTTCAACGGATAAATTTCAACCTGAATATTCTTACAACAATAATAATAACAGAAAGACATTAAAGAATAGAAATAATTTATCAAATTTTTATAATATGATTAATAATTTCACCAATGAAAAGCTAAACAACTGAAAAATAACTGAAAGGACAATGAAAGGCGACTGAAAGACGACAGAAAGGGCAAGGAAAAATATCTGAAAGATAACTGTAATGTGTTCACAGAATGATGGCTCAAATGTGCCTGAATTATGGCTAAAATGTAACTAAAAGGTCACTGAAATGTACAAATGTACCTGTCATTCAGTGACTGAATGGCCACGGAAAAGTCACTGAAAACCGCTCTTCAATTTTAACTGAAATGTCTTATTTCTCCCTGTGATGGTCTTTGAATAATATTTAATGTACATATGTAAGGTATTCTTGTCTTATTTTTATTCATGTATTTATTATTACAGTTCTACCTGCCTATTAAATACTAAAAAATTGTATTTTACATGAAAAAAAATCTTTTATTTCTCTTTTATGTAATTTACCTTTCATTTACATTATTTACAGTGTTAAATTATCATAAGTTAATAACAAATGGGAATAATTTAAAGCAGAGTAAAATTCCAATACATGGGTATAAAATGTCCCCCGCTTTTAATTCCAGAACGCCTGTCTCAGGGGCCATGAATTTCACAATTTGGGAAGAAGCACTATTGCTCATCATAAGCATGCACTTAATTTCTATACTTAATACCCAGGAGAAGGGGGAAATACTAAAAGAATATGCATTTTCACAATATGACCATTAGATCTCGACCCTAACTGCATAATTTTGAAAAGGTACCCTTGCTCTTCATAACAATGTACTTTTTTCTCCTTCATACCGAGGAACGGAGAAGATTTTCAAAGAATCTAGTATGCATTTTCACTATATGAACCAATAGAGCCCCACCATAACTCCAAAACTTCTGTCCCAGGGGCCATGAATTTCACAGTTTTGGAAGAAGCACCCTTGCTTATCATGACAACGCACTTAGTTTGTCTGCTAAAAAAACGAAAACAGTCAAACTCAACAAATCAAAGATAATTAAAAATACGCCTCTCTCGTGAATATATCAACAAAAATCCAGTCCCACTCATGAAATAAATGCCCCCCCCCCCCCCTTCGAAAAAATCAAACTACACAACATTGAACCTCTATATATGTAATTCAGCATTCTTTACTGCTATTGGCATCAGACCATAAAATGCAGTGTACGTATCATAGGTTAATCAAGGCAATTCAGATATCGCTTCACTAATTCGAACAATTTTCACTGGGAACCAAAGCATCCGAATAACCGAGATTCCACTATACTAGAACACGAGAATTCTTACCCAGAATATCCCAGAGACCGACAAGCTACTTTTGTGTCCTTTTGATCCCAGCTACTATCACAGATGGCTCCCCATTTACCGTTGATTAACACATCAAGAATACCTTCGTTAACAGATGTTCCGTTTGATAATCTAATAAAATCTGTAAAATATAGATATTCAAATATTGTAAGTATTTAAGGCTTTGTATCTCCTCTTAATTAATTGTCTTTTTTTTTTTTGGAATTAACTATATTTAAAAGTATGACTAGCTCCACTTACCACCTTGAAGTCTACATACTACACCAGCATCCTCTCTATGATTACAATTATTAGTGGAAGAAAATGTACACTCAGACAGACCGGTTTCACTTCCAGTACACTGTACATCATCAAAGAGTATAGACCCAGTTCCTTCTCCAAAAACTGCATTTGAAACGGCCAGTCCATGTCTAATGAATTTTACGTAAAAATTCTATTTTTATGTTGTACGACGTATACCCTGGTAATGTTTTAGTACAATAAGTGACACTAAAGTTGATTTTTTATTACTATTGACATTAAGGTATCCGACCCATATTAGGACCCAATTTTCTAACCTTAAATATCCACCCTGTATTAAATACTCTGATATTACTTCAAAGCATTTCAGAGTAGTAAAGAATTTACCAAGAGAAATTTTCAAAAATATAATTACCTAAGCAGTAATTATTTAATGAAGATTGCATTGATGTCTATGGGGACAAGAACATTTTTGAAAATAAAAATTTAAATACTAAGAATATCAAAAAAAATGCTGCGGTGGACAGATGTATTTAATTATAAAGAATAGAAAAGCAATTAAAAACTTAAGTTTTACCAGATAGATTTTTTTTAGAATTGATTTTTATTGATTAAAAGCAAAGGGCGGTAACTCTTGAAGGACAGGACAAGGTAAAAAATTAGGTCAAATTCCGCTCTTACATATTGATACTAACATGAAGATTATGTCTACATATACTGAGTATTCAGCCAATATATATCTGTTATACATTTAGATTCACTGAATCTGAGGCTATTATTGGTCGGATACCTTAAATGAATCGTTTATTATCATGCTTGTCAGAAAAGTAGAAAGATTCATTTTTATGAGGTATGAAATAACAGAAATCAATATTTTTTCAGCATTTTTCGAGATCTGTGTTTTTATGACATATATATTCAGAAACATACATGTATAAAAAGCCGCATAGACCACAACACTCACCTGAATCACTTTAGCCCTACTAGTCTTCAGATAGTCAAAACAGATTTTAAAAAAAGTCCTTTTTTGAATTTAAGAAGAATATGACCCAGAACAACTGGAGAAAATTTATTTCCGTACACATGATTAATGTAAAATTTTGATCTGTGATTTCGGTCCAACCCTAACCTCAAGTTTTATAGTTAATAAACTGAATCCAACGTAGGAATGTTCAGCTTATTAATAAGATTTAAAATAATTCTTTGTAAAACACTGATCCCATATTGTAGCCTAACGAGGGTCCTGATCTGAACAATCTAACCTATCTGAGGAAGCATATGTATGTCAGATTAATAAATTTTCTTTTTCAGAAGAGTAATCTAAAAGATTTTTCCAATATATTCCAGTAAATTTATTATCTATTGTGGCCCAATCCTACCCCAAGGCCATGACTGGACGAAGCTTAAATTAACACAAACTGAGAATGCTTACATATCTATAAACAATATCTAAATAAATAGTTATCTAATTATGACTTTGCTGCTCCTTAGAAGATTTCCAAAAAAAAAAAACAACAAACAAACAAACAAACAAACAAACAAAAACAAAAAAAACAAAAACAAAAAACAAAAAAAAAACAAAAACAAAACAAAAAAATACCCATATTCTCATGTAAACTTTGATCTCCTATTGTGGCTCCATTGTGGATCCCAATTTGAACAATATGTAATGAAGCTTCTACAAAAGTTATATATTTCCTGGCCCAGTGGTTATTGATAAATGAATTCTTAAAGATGCCATTAAATTCACATTTCCTCTTGAAAAAGGGCGTGTTTCTTCAATTGAATGAACTTCAATTCCCTTTACACAATGAAGCTTTGTGGCAAGTTTGGTTGAAAAGTTTGGCCCAGTGGTCAAAAATGTAAAAAGCTACAAACGAACAGACAGGCAGATAGACGGACAGATAGACAGATGCCGGACAAAATGCGATCTGAAGAGCTCACTAGAACTGAATGTAGAATTTCATACTTACTCACTATAACCTAGACTTCTACAAATAACACCGGCATCCAGATGGTCCCAATCATCATCACAAACCGTTCCCCATTCATTGTTCTTGTAAACTTCTACTCGTCCTTGAAATTCTAATTGTCTTGAAAGTCGTATAAGTGGGGCTAAGATATTTGAGATAGAAAATCAAGATAAAGAAATCCTAGAAATCAATCCAACAAAAACCAACGAGTAAGACATTAACAAAACTTAATAAAAAGGAAAGAGGCGATTAAGAAAAATGATTACTTATTTAAATCATAACTAGAGAAAAGTGTTATTTTATATTTTTCGCTTCTTTTTTGAGCTCTCTCTCTCTCTCTCTCTCTTCTCTCTCTCTCTCTCTGACAGATGACTATATTCATTAGTCGCCCGCGTGGAGCAGTGGTTAGAGCGTCTGCTCTAGAGTCGCGAAGTAAGGAGTTGATCCTTACGTCGCGGGTTCGAATCCCACTGTGGGACGTGGAGACCGGTCCTTCGGATGAGACCGTATAAACCGAGGTCCCGTGTCGCAGCAGGTGCTGGCACGAAAAAGATCCCTCACTGCTCAATGGCCGTAAGTGCCGAACATAGGACAAAATTTGCAGCTCTCCACCGGCAAGTGGTGGCGTCTCCATATGAGTGAAAAATTCTCGAGAGGGACGTTAAACAACATACAAACAAAAACTATATTCATTACTGTAATTAAATTTCTGAAATTTAATCCTGATTAATTCAATACTGAACCTATGTCAATAATTTTAACAATCTTGCATAATCATTTGACCAATTGCTTTGAAACAATTGTTTTGCAAGACATTCCTTTTGCTGGCAATGTCTTTTACAAAATAAAACTGACGTGGAAAAATTTTGCTTGCATATAAGATATATAGAGAAGTTTAAATACTATTTCCCTAGATGTAAAAAAGAATCATAGTGGAGAGGTATATATATCCTTCATAGTATAGCTAAGTAATATTTCAAGCAAACAATATCCCAAAATTCAAATTCTAGTAAGGATATACGTGATATATACCACAAAAAATTATATCTCACATACAGAAGAGTTAATTTGCTTTTTTTTCAATATTTCGTTTAACGGAAATCCATTTTGGAAATAAGTAACAATAGACTCTTAAAATTGTTCTCAGAAGTGTACAGTAACAAAACTTCATATATTTATTAAAAAAAAATTCAAAGGAGTTATTTGATTATAAAGTTACATTTTCACACTTTTCATCAAATCATGTGGCTCGGTCAAAAATGAATTTGTTAAACTAAACTAAACAGATGTCACTTCTTTAATGAGAGAGGCACCTATCTAAGCAAAGATTTTTGAATGGCAGAAAAACATTACGTATAAATTGATATCCATTAAAAATGTCTTGAATACATACTACATAATAAAGCTCTTAATGAAGTTTTGTCTTTAATAACCCAATAATAAAACAAGATTTTTTTTTCAAAGAAAAATTTCAAGTTGTAGTTGTTTAAACGAAACATAATAAAGAATTTAATATAAATAAGAACGATAGTGGAAAATCTTTCTGAATTAAATATTTACTGCAAGATAAAAGAAATGGAGATTTCAATTATAAATTAATAAAAAAAAAAATAATAATAATATACTATAAAATAATTATTTGGTAAGCAAGATGCATAAGTAGGGAGGTAATATAAATGACTCTCAGGTGTGATATACATGTACATACCTTTCTTACTAGAATTTATGAAATATTTTTTAACGATACTGTGAAGGATAAACCTCTCCACTAGAATTCTTTATATGTATATATCTGTGTTGTAAGAAAGCCGGATTGGCTCATTTTTGAGATTGAACAATTATATGACTCGTATCTCGTTAAAACGAGTTACATGTAGAATCTCGTTATAACTAGTTGGTCATGACGTCATAACGAGTAAGTAATCTCGTTATAGAGAAATAGTTTTGTCGTTATAATCAGTTAGTTATCTCGTTATAACAATTAAATTATCTCGTTATATCGATTTAGTTAATTCGTTATAACGACAAAATAATTAATTGAAGAGTTGAGATCTCTAAGTAAAGAATGCCAGCTTCGAGTCGATAACATTAATTTATAGTGAGCATGATAAAGAGTTTAAGGATGTGGTTTACTCAAAGTGAAATGGAATTTTATAAAAAAAAAAAAAAAAAAAAAGTACATTATGTTAAGTCAAAAGATGTTCTAATTTAGAAAATATTATTTTATTAATTGAAGAAAATATGCAAGAACAAAAATAAATTTTTTGGTGATGCAGAGGAAATTTGGACTAAATTTTTAAAGGTTTTTTTTTCTTCATTTTTCCCACATTTTTTTTATTTGCAACATTATTCATAAAGTCAAAATTCTATGTGTTTTTAACACCATTTTGCAAGCAGTGTATGTTAAGACTCGTGTATTATTTCAAATAACTGAACAGCATGCAATAAAGAATTTCAAAAATATTAACAAAAACCATTCCAGACAATTTATCCCAAGAATTTGATCATTGATCTAATTTAATCTTAATGCCAGCAAAATGAGGGGAACAAAAGTAAACCTAGGCTTTAAATCAGGGATGGGGTATCTGAAAAAAAGTAATTGTAATTGACCATAATTAATTACATTTTTTGAAGTAATTGGATGTAATTTGTTATTGAACATTTAATGTAATTGTAATCTAATAAATGACACTGAAAAAATTCCATATAATTTCAATTACTTTTTCAATTACATTCAATTACTTTATACAATACACATTCATGATATATATTCACCACTACCTCCCCATTTTACTGTCTTTATTTTACTGCAAAACATATTCTCAATCCTTCAATTATACAAAATCTTAAGTTCATGTTTACGAGCAAATAAATGATGGACTTCATAATTATAATCTAGTTTCTTTCTAATCATTATGTAAAATTGAATTTTTTATTTTATGTCTATCAAAATTTTGTACCACCCTTCTTAGGCCAACTTTTCAGTCATGAAACACACATTCATTATATTTCAATCTTTGTTGTTGGTCAATAATAAAAAAAAAAAAGATTGTGTGTGTCATTAATTAAGTTCTCTCTTGTTGGAAAGAGATATAATTGCCCTCCAAATCACAGCTGTAAATTGCAATCAAAACAAATCAACCCCTCTAAAGAGGAATTCATTCCATGCTTTAGAAGACAAAGCCAATAGAGATAATTATTTCAATTAAAAATTCCCTGCTAGCTTTAGAAAAGAAAATCTTTCAATTTGACAATTATTCTAACATCTAAAGAGATTTTTAATGAATAAATTTTGTATCTGAAAAAGTTATGTTTTGTACTATTATTATTTTTGAAGTAAAAATGTTCACTAAAATAGCTATTTAGGATGTTCAGGTTACTTTCAAAAGAAATATCTAATTAGAGAGATTACAGTTGCGACTCATTTTACTCTATTAAAATATCCACTTTTAATCAAATATCATAAGCCATGCAATTTATGTACATGTAGGTTTTGCGCATCAAACTGATCTTAGATAGTTCTTTAACGTTTAGTAAATAAAAATTATATATTAAACCACAAAATACACAATGCCTATATAGCTTATTATTTCTTGTATTGTTTGTGCAGAGGCTGAGCTTATATACAGATATGCATACCAACAACTTTGACCTTTTGACCTTGACCTTGGAGTTTGACCTACTTTTGAAAAACTTTAACCTTGACCATAACTTTTGAACAGTTGGTGGTTAGGCTTTCAAACTTCACATGTGTATTTCTTGTGACAAGACCTTCCTCTGGATATCAACCACTTTGACCCTTTGACCTTGACCTAGGAGTTTGACCTACTTTTGAAAAACTTTAACCTTGGCCATAACTTTTGAATGGTTGATGCTAGGGCTTTCATACTTCACATATGTAATCCTTGTGACAAGATCTTCCTTTGGATACCAACCACTTTGACCTTGACCTTGACGTTTGACTTCTATTTAAAAAACTTTAACCTTCACCATAACTTTTGAACAGTTGTATCTAGGTCTTTCAAATTTCACAAGACCTTTCTTAGGGTATCAACATTTTTTTTTTTATCTTTTGGCTTGGATTTTGACTTGCATTTGAAGAAACTTTAACCTTCGCCATAAGCTGCCATACGGGGGCATCAGTGTTTCACAAACACATCTTGTTGTAATATAAGATTAACAATAGGTAAAAATTAGCTCAAATTCCGATTGTTTATTTACGTTTAGTAAAACTATTCTATTTCTATTATATTTCCTTATCTAATTATCTAAAGAGTTTTGTTACTTGTTTATATACTTTGTGAATAAAGATAATATTGGTCTTAGTGTAAAAAATAGATATTTTCCGAGAAATACTCAGGAACCGCTAGCATGAAAATTAGGTCTTTGACCTAGTTATATAACACTACAATCATACGTAGGTCTACAATCTACAATAGATGGTTTTTCATTCTTATCAGTGGAACTTTTTTGTCATCTGAGTAAACTTCATTCTTAGGGAAAAACTTACTATTTAATTGTCTTATGGATTTGATTATTGTTCTTTATTGAAAAGACCGAAGACAAAAATGCTTGCTCACGAATAGTGTTTTCTACACAGTGTTAATGTGAGCTACAATGAATTTGTTATATTACAAATACCTTTCATACACATAACGCCTGCATCCTCCCCATGATTACAGTTATGGTTAAGATGATTTGTATGCGTACAATGCAGTAGGGAACTTTCAGTCCCATAACAATTGACGTCATCCATATGAATAACACCAACTCCACGTCCAAAACGTGCACCGCTATATGGGCTTCTGTAAAAACATAATTTTATCCATGGTAAAAAAAATACTTACTTTTAAAAATGTAATATTCACGATTCATTTAAACGAATAAGTCAAAAACAATTGGCAGTTTGGATACTTGGGAAAAAGAGAAGAAAAAAATATACATTGTTACAGAATTTCTTTACAGAAGGAGAGGTGTCTTTGTTTACCCTTAATTACTATACTTCTCACTTTTTCTACATTCATGCAGTTTTCTACAACATAAATGAAGACAGGTTCAAATTCCTTTCTCATCTGCCACTGCATCGTTGGAATGATAATAATGTAAATAAAAAAGGCTAATTTATAAATGTCGAAATCGTTTCGTTATGTACGAAAATGACATAAAATGCGTTTCAATAGAGATGAATAAACATGATCAATGAAATATATGAAGATAAAGAACAGTATTCAGGCTCAAAATTCCATCAAACAATACAAAATAGAGCAAACACGGAACTCCAAACATCAGAGGTTGGATCAGGTGCCATGGAGGAGTGAGCATCCCCTGCCGACCGGTCACACCCGCCGTGTGCTCCTTGTCATGATCGGGAAATAACGGAAAAATCCGTAGACAATTCAGTGTGTAAATAATGGCCTAATAATTTGTATGAAAAACGTCAGTCAGCATTTGACTCAATGATAAGTTGTATTTGCTGACAAGGTCATTGTATCAACCATAGAACTTACGAAATGATATCTTTAAACGAGACAGCTGATATTCTTGTTTCATCAACTTGTTTGTCAATAATTTACCTCGTTTTAGAAATTGTACATACGTAGAGCATGCTCTTGCGTATCGAATCAAATGAGAGATATATACCCCGTATGCAGTTGATGAAGGTATATTGCTGCATAAGTAAGGGAAGTTGACGATTGAAAAGTTAAAGTCATCATGTTTATCATAAAGCTTGGTTGTTAGATTACCATTAACGTCTTTTTCTAGTAAAATATCCAAATATGAAACAGATGTATCAGACTCTGTGGTATCTTTTATCTCAAGCTCACAAGGATATATCGTATCGACATAAGAATGGAAATAGCCATTGTTAATTGACAATACGTCGTCGATATATCTTAATGTCGAGTTGAAGGTCACAGCAAGTGTTTTTTTCTTTTCATGTACAAGATTTTGGACAAATTCTGCTTTATATGAAAACAAAAAAAGGTCTGCTAATAACGGGGCGCAATTAGTACCCATGGGAATTCCAACAGATTGTTGGAAGACCTGGTCTCCAAAAACCACATAGATATGGTCAATCAGAAACTCAAGCATGTTCATTTAAACGAATAAGTCAAAAACAATTGGCAGTTATGGATACTTGGGAAAAAGAGAAGAAAAAATATACATTGTAACAGAATTTCTTTACAGAAGGAGAGGTGTCTTTGTTTACCCTTAATTACTTTTCACTTTTTCTACATTCATGCAGTTTTCTACAACATAAATGAAGACAGGTTCAAATTCCTATCTCATCTGCCACTGCATCATTGGAATAATAATAATGTAAATAAAAAAAGGCTGATTTATAAATGTCAAAAATGACATAAAATGCGTTTCAATAGAGATGAATAAACATGATCAAGACTGCAAAAGCAAATTAAAAATAAAACAACAGAAGGGTAAAAGAATACACCATTTATTTATATATAGATATTTTTTTATATCACTTTTACTTTAAATTGTTATAACCATCTGTAGTTGAATTACATTTCACTATTATTTAAGCACTTACCGATTAAACACGGACCTCCGGAAATTCCAGAGGTGGATCAACTGCCTAGTGCATAGGGCTCATGGCGGGTCTGACCAGTCGACAGGGGATGCTTCCTCCTCCTAGACATCTGATCTTACCTCTGGAATTTCCAGGGGTTCATGCTTCATGCCATGTTTACAGATTTGTTTTGTTTGTAGGTTTTTTTTTTTAAATCGATCAATATTCGATATCTTCACCTTTTTCATCAAGTAAAGTTTTCAGTTGACAATTGTAGTAAATACGAACTGTGAAGAAGTAAGTTTTTTGGCTATGAATTTGACGTATTTTTGAATTGGACAAATCGCTTCTGATAATTTCAAAATATTTATTTTAGCTTAGAGGGCTTTAGAATCCTATTTCCATTTGATTGTCATTTTATGAAAAATACCTCTTATGCAATATTACTATCCATGGAATATTTTTCCCCTCAGGCAAGTACATGAATACAAATAAATAAAAAGTTGACCACATCTTAGCTTTATTTATATCTTTAATACTGCTATTGCAACGACACATGCGTTCGTTGGAACACTCTACTTAATAAAAATTTATTTCTCGCTCTATTCAAAAATCGGTATAGTTTAGGAAACAATATATTTTAGGAATCTTTCATGAAATCAGTCAACGTATTAAATTACTTGAATTTCCAAGCCAAAGCACACTGCTTCTTGGGATAAAGAATATGTTTAAGGGAGAGAACCCCCCAATACTATCCATCTATGAGAGAAAGAATACTTCAGGTCTATGACCATCATCAGTTTTTCCTTTTTTTCAGAATGGACATTCGAATTCTCTACTCAATAACAACATAATAAGGAACCAGGACTCCCATCCATGGATATTGTCTCTATATGGCAGATGTCAGTGATGTCACCGCACCTTCTATGCCTTTTTACCATTAAATTCAGACATTAAATAACCTCTGTTTACATGGTATTTGGACCTGGATCGTTTCACATTCTATTTGTTGGTTGTTAATTTGTAGGTATATCAATTCTTCCATACACATCAATGTTGGTGAGAGAATGATATTCAAATTCTTACGTACAAAGTTATAAATTAAATTATACATATCATTTGTATAAAATGTTCAACAATTTTTAAAAGATAGCGCACTATTAATATTACTATCATTATGATAATAATACTAATAATTGTCAAAGGATTTAATTCTGTCCACTGAGATAAAGAATGCATCAACTGAAGACTATATGTTTATTTGGGGGTTTACGAGGTGATACAAAGCCAGAAACAATTGATTTGAAAACTATCATGAGCGCCAAGATTTGTCATTTTCCATCCACCAATTAACACCAAAAAATAAGACGTTCCTAATATTTACATTTTTTCATTGTAAAGTTTATTTTTTATTGTTCCTTTCCGTTCTGCTTTCCATTTTCTAATAAAGAAAACTCAATGTGCCACACCAAATGACCCCATGCAATTTCATTAAGAAGGTATATGCATACTGATACTTCATAATTTTATTTGTATGTTATTTTCAAATAAATGCACATAATTTAATTGACCATACCAAAGTGTAAATTCCTTTACCGTCAATTACTTTGAAACCACAGCTTTTCCCTCAATAACTTTGAAACCGCTATAAAATAGAACAGCCTAAAACGAAATATTTTTTTTTGGTGAAATGGAAATCTGAAAATAATACCCAGTTAGTCCAAAAAGTTGTTTACAGATAACATTTGCATCTTTGTAGTCCCAGCTATCGTCACAAACTGTTCCCCATACGCCATCCTTGTAGACTTCAACTCTGCCCTCTCTAAAAGAACTTCCATTTACGAGTCGTGCACCTTAAAAAAAAAAAAAAATGTTTTACATATATATAAGATAAAGATTTTATTAAGAAGCAGACTTTGATACTAAGGCTTCAAAAGAAAATGTTTTTGACAGGAGTATATTTTTATTTTTTTAGAAGGAGGGTTTTCTCTTTATTTATACTTATACATCCCTTGCGAGAATTTTTCACTCATTTGAGAATTCACCAAATACAGCCAAAAGGCTTCAAAGATAGACCTTTACTCGACACTCAGGGCCATTGTGCAGTGAGTTTTTTTTTTATTATGCCAACCTCTACTGTGAAATGGACTTCGGTTTTAAGGTCTCATCCGAAAAATCCATGACTTTCACTTCTAATTTCGGGTGCTTGGCGAAGAAGCAGTCACTACCTATGTTTAACGTCTTAAATTTGTTGCGGCGCAAGGAACGAGAATCTAAGCCGGACCTCCTGATTACGAAGAAGCGTCTTACGACTAGGCTACTGCGACGTCATTTGAACATTTTAATTCATTTTCCATATCTTCTTGCTATCAGGTACAAGTTCATTTGGATGAAATAGGGTTCAGGGAAAGAAGTAATTAACCCTTTCAAGATTACAGAGGAAACGGGATAGATGCACACTGACAGGTAACACTATTTTCAGTGACTAAGTAAACATAATTTGAAATTATTACAGATGTAATTCAGACAATATTCTATATCCGTACATTTTCAATGAAATTTCATTCTTTATCACTCGGTAAGAAGGACTTTGTTTTTGACAGTTATGTTTAAATAAACTTACAAAAAACGACAAATTTGCAGCATGAAGTAGCATACCCTAAGCAAGATTTATTTGTTTAAATTTTATTAGAATTTACTCTTGAATTTGAAAAGCTACCCTGTTTCACTGCCTCTGCCTCCACGTTGTTGTGCAAATTCTTAATCAAATCTTCTTGCTCTTGAATTTTTTCTTTCAACAATTTGATTTCCATATTGTTTTTCTCAACTCTCTCTTCCAACATGTTCTTAAAATCATTCATTTCAATCCTGTATTGTTTTAACCGAGATTCCATATTGTTTAAGTACGACATTATAACTTTTTGGGCTGCGGAGTTGATCAGAAGTTCCACCTCCTCTATCTTAGCCAATGGGCAATGGTCCAAAAGGCTAGATCCATCTAGTACACTCTGGCCATTCACTGACATCAGGATAAGTGTCATACACAGTAGATTAACTATATCCATTTTAGACGCAAACTAAACAAAAATAAAAAAAAATAATATATTTTTCACTGAGTATAATTGCCATTTTACTTTTGATTAAACATATTTATATATTGTCAAAAGTAAATCTGTAAATTTATATATGTAGTTTCATGGATGTTCAGATTTTATTCAATTTTATATGTTCCAATTCAAAGAATTCAACAAACTACATATTTCCTTAGGGGTATAGTCAAGTGACGGTACATATTGTCCTTCTGTACATATTGTCGTCGGCGACAGTATGTACCAACCCTTACTGCACATATTACTACTTAAATTTTCAGCCAAAATCTTGATATTTTTCCTATTAAGTCAATAGCCTAAAGGTATTTTCTGATTCAAAAAGAACAATTATTAAACATACAAAATAAATAAATAAAAACGTTTTATTTGTTTTATTCACATTTCTTGTCATAAATATATACATATAAAAGCTGTAAGTTTATAAGAGAGTCTCAGGCCAAATATACTTAATAACGAAATATTGTCAATTCCAGATCTATAAGGACTTCAGTTCTAAGTAACTATAAATGAAACAAAACCGGAAAATTCTTAAAATGGATTTTTCCCCCTCGAAAAGGCAATTTCTCCGAAACTTAAGCGCGACGGTCACCTTAAACATAGGCTTTATGAAGAGATAAAGATATTTTTCTATTACTGTATAATATTTGTTTCTTGTCGAAAGAATGCAATTTAAAATGAACAGGCTGATTAATACCTCTTAACCCCTTCCATTTTTGAAATGCAGAAATACATGTATGTACGACATTATAGAAAAATCAAGTGAAGTTGTTTTAAATAATAATTTTTCCCAGTATTTTAGTATTTTCCTTTAATTTATACGCTCGTACTTTGTAATATTATTTGATAATTGCTTAGTGATTCATCAAAGATTTCCAAACATCGATCGACCAATTGACATGATTGATTCTTAAATAGACAATGAACATGCCTGTTATACGCAGGGGAAAGGGGATTGGGGGGGGGGGGAGGGAGTGCCTCCACTTTTTTCTACTTTCAATACCTTTTTTTCTGAGAATAGTATTTTTGCTTAAAAAAGACTCCCACCCCCTTCGACACACACTGTTTGTTGCTGTAAGGTCGAACTCGGGTAGATTCCCGTTTTTGAAAAGAACAAAAAATCAGGAAACGTAGAGAACCCCCATCTCCGCTCCGAAGAAATAGAATTTCTCAAAACGTTGCTATAGCTGTGGGTCTGATGAAGAATTTGTAGCAAACCAGCACGTGGAGCGATGGATACCCTGCTTATTGTTTACACGCGCCAGGTATAGGTTTAATTATGTACTTGCGTCTTCGTAAACAATAGCTTTCACACTCTGCCGCTCCAATGACCACAGATTGCCGTTATTCTTGCCGCTCCATTGACGACAAATATTGCCGTTACAAGTTTTGAAATTCTATATTTCTCTCTCTTTTTTTTTTATTATTATTTTTTTTTTATTTTATTTTATTTTATTTATTTATTTATTTTTTGGATGTTCTTTTTTTGAAAAATTATTGGGGCGGCGATCGCCACCCCTGCCGCCCCTTTGCCGACGCCCTTGTAGTGACGGTACATATTGTCCTTCTGTACATATTGTCGTCGGCGACAGTATGTACCAACCCTAACTGCACATATTGTCATCCATCGGTACATATTCTTGCCGGCTGAAAAGTTACACATGGATATATTGTCCCTGCGACATTATGTTCAATACTGTCACTGCACATATTGTCGACCCACTTATATTGTTGTTTATATTTTTTGTAGTTTTGTGAATGTAATTGGTGTATAAATCACACTGACGTTTCTCGTATGGTTTTTCAGGCAGTGCGATTGTACATATACGGTATATTTATTAAAGGTACATTTTGTCGTCCTGTTCATATTGTCGCTAGCGACAATATATACTGTACCTACTGTTAAGGTAGGTCATATTGTCGTCCATCGGTACATGTCGCCTGACAATACCTGGCGATGCTTCCATATAAATACATGTATTACTAATCATTGCTTTGCTGTTTTTGAGAAGATTTTAAGAAATATTGACATTAGAATATAAGAAGAATATATCTATATATTCTAATGTACAAATTTGATCGCCCATTGTGACCCCACCCTAGCCCCGGGGTCATGATTTGAACAAATTTGAATCAACACTACCTTAAGATGATTCTATATACGAGTATGAGTAATTATGGACTTGCTGTTCTTGAGAAGAAAATTTCTAAATTTTTCTCTATATATTCCTATGTAAACTTTGTGGCCCCATCCTACCCCTGGGGATCATGATTTGAATAACGTTAACCTTGAATGTACACTATGCAATGAAGCTTTCAAATGTATCAACTCTTCTGGTCCAGTACTTCTTGTGAAGAAAATTTCAAAAGATTTACCCCTTTATATACCTACGTAAAATTTGATCACCTTTTGTAGCCCCACCCTTCCCCCGGGGATCATGATATGAACAAAACGGAATCTACCCTTTATAATGAAGCTTTCATATAGGTTTCAATTTTCTGGCAAAAGTGGTTCTTGAGATAAAGGTTTTTACAAATGTTAATCAATTTTCACTAGGTCTATTATCTCCCCTTGAAACAGGACATGGTCCTTCATTTGAGCAAAATTGAATTCCCTTTATCCATCGCTGCTTCGTGCCATGTTTGGTTGAGATTAGCCAAGTATTTCTTGAGAAGAAGCCGAAAATGTGAAAGGTAAATAGACGGATGGACGAAGATGACAGACAAAATTTGTAAAAACTTCCCTTGCAGAAATGTCAGAGAACGAATCAAAATTCATTTTGCCGTCGTAAACTTCAGTTTACAAAACCTTATTTAAGTTTATCTGTCTGAAATGATGTTTGCAATAGATTTTGATAATAAACATACACCGTAGATTCTCATTTGAAAACTATAATTTACATTCGGTACCCATAGTTAAAAATTGTTAATGATAGTTTCACAAATCTATATTTATTTAAACTATATTTATCAGATAAATAATGTTTTATATGTGTTATTTATATATTCCAGTAGTAAATTATGATAAACTGTCAGTTTTACTCATAAACTAACTTTCACAGACATAAATTACGATTAATAATCGTAAACTATAGTTTTGAAAGATTAACTATGATTAACATTTGTCAGTATACGAGTATACTTTATCGCCATAAACTATATTTTGTTAACTATAGTAAAGAGTTGCTAAATAAAGTTTATGAATCTAAACACCTGTAAATTATTAAGTATTGTTTTCAATTCAAGTTCTTTATGAATTACTTTAAAGAGTTATTAAGAACTGTAATTTTTAATAGAAAATGATATTTTTTTTTTCTTCAAATAACTGAAAATTTTATTGATATTTTGTTTCTTTCTGATTTTACAGAGGATTTGTTGTCGCTTTGTTGTGAAATTTAAACCTAGAAATGTAACAAGCTCACATAGAATTTCTCTTTTCGCCATTTGGATGTTAAAATCAGATGAGATACATTCTATTTTCTTCCTTATTTTTAAAGAACACATTTGTTTCAACCATTCAGTATTTTAATAGGCAGTTTTATATATATATATATATATATATATATATATATATATATATATATATATATATATATATATATATATATATATATATATATATATATATATATATATATATATATATATATATATATATATATATATATATATATATATATATATATATATATATATATATATATAACACGATTATGAGCTCATAACACTGTACTTTCAAACTGTATGTTATACATTTACCACTCAAATTAAACTTCAATTACACTACGAAAACACGGCGGATATGACCGTTCGACAGGGGGTGCTTACTTTTCCATTTCACCTGATTCCACCTCTTATGTTTTAGAGGTCCGTTTTTGCTTTGCTCCTAATTTGTATTGTTTCAATGGAATTTTAAGCTTGATTACTGTTCGAAAAGAGAACTTCGCCTCCACACCCCCCTCCCATCCACCCCCAGCCCATTCCATGAACACAAAGAAATTAAACTTAGTCGAATACTCATCACATATTTGTATAACTCAGAGTTCTAAAACTGATAAAACTAAATCATAAATCCCGATCGTAAATCACGCAAGAAACTGACATTGTATTCATTTACTGACATTCCATTTGAATCCAATTTCCCTTCTCCATCAATATTCCTACTAAATAAATCGTTCCATTTCTCCCTTAAGAAATTTTTAATCATCATTTTTTCCCGGTATATCAACCATTTTTTCAACTTACCTTGTCAACACTATTAAATAAAGTCCATATCAATTTTGATATACATAACTTACCCAATGTGAATTCACCTTTGTAATTATTTTAATATCTGTTTTGCTGATTTAATAGACCTTATGCACATTTTGTGGAACTATGCATTTGTTTCTGCTTTGAGTTATTTAACAAGGAAGTAATGTTGAACAAATAGAGGTGCATTAAATGTCCATGCCCTATTTAGTCGCCGGAGAATATGTTTTTCAAATGGTAATCGCATCTTGGCATTGTCAGCTCGAAACAATGATGTTTGATCTCATGATAAAGGTAAACATAAAGTTATTGCATTTTAAGTATCATCATATCTAACCTGTCTAAAAGTTGTTCGACTAGAATTGTGAGGAATTTATGCAGTATAATATTGCACAATATTTCTATCAAGTGGGAAGATAAAGTAACAGTCTTTTGAAAAGTAATCTTAGTTTTATTTGGTGACTTCCTCAATTCATTAGGAAGGGAAGGATATCCATAAATATTGATGCAATTTTCTGACCTCTATCACATAGGCCCCATTCCTAAATCTAGATACGAATTTTATGATTTGCCAGTAAGAATAACACATGGTTACGATGACGACACGTCTTGTTATTTGCTGCTTTTATTCAAATATGAACTTCCTTATTGCAAACTATGGCATAAAGATGAAAATAATATCTTCATCCTTCTTTCAGATACCTGGT